CCATAGCCATCTCAGACGCTTCAATAAGGCTGTCATTGTCGCTGCCAAATATTTTGTTAAAATCATCAATTTTAAGTATAATTTTATCTATGTGTGTATATATATTTTTTTTCTTACAAGATGACTAGCATAGCCCTCCATGACCATAACCATTGTTGTCAAAATCTATATTTAAATATTAAAATCTTACAATTTTATGATTTCAGTAAGATATTTTTGTGTAAAATCTATATTAAAATTTGAAATTACTAAAATCGAAAATTCATAAAATCTGAGAATTTCACGGTAAAATCTAGATTTTACCGTGAAATCAAGTAAAATATCGATTTTACATTCTGTTTGGCAGCTGGACTTTTAGCCTATTTCCTTTTGGGTTTCTCATCTTGAGTTTTGACTAGATAACTCATAAATTAAGATCATTTTTCATTTTAAAAACCCACAACCCACCCAACCCAACCACAAATCAACATTTTAATTGAAAATTCAGGACAAATTTGATTTAATCATCTAAAATTCTAAATTTAAGTCATCTTCTTCGTTTAATTTATTTGTGTTGTTGAATATTTAGATTTTAATTAGCTAATTTCAAGTTTATAACTTTAAATTTAATTTATTGTGATTTAATTTTGATTTTATATAATTTATTATATATTATATATTAAATTTTGTAAAATCTTAATTTTACTCATTTGATTTTACGATTTCGATTTCACCTAACCAAACCAAAATGATTTTAGATAAAATCTCAATTTTGACAACCTTGACCATGACCATTTTGACTGCTTAAGTCCGGATGCCAGCTTTTCCTTTTTGGGGTAGAAATCCGGGAGTCAGCTTTACTCATTCACACACGCTTGCTAATACCATTTGCAAATTTCTAAAAACATAATTATTGAGGGGATGATGATTAAAAGGGTAAAATTATTACCGTTGTTCTTTGTATTGCGTTGCAGTCTGTCATGCAGAGTTTTAATTTCGGTAGTCAGGTACCGTGTCAACTTTTTGAAATCATGGGTCCTGCCCTGTTTTTTTTGTCTTGTCCTGTCTTGTCTGCGTGCCCAATAACTGGTATTTTGCTTCAATGTGAATGAGGTACTAGCGTTTCTAAGTGTATTTGATTTAGAAAACAAAAAACTGGTTCTATCTTAGATGAATATCTAGGTTGCATTTCATGAATTGTGGGTCTGGTTGAACTCCAAAATGGACAGCTGCACTAATAATTTCAAAGCTGGATTACTCATGGCTGAAGACCATCCCGTAAAGGATAGGCAACAGTGTCAGCCATGAAAGGTACAACTGTACAAGGATCTAGAACCTCAAAAGCTCACGTGAGTTTTCTGCTGTGCCTTTAAGTGGGGTTGTAACTTGAACTCATATATCCTCATTGGCGTTTAGTTGTTAGTTCGGGTTTTGCATTCATTCCAAGCTTTAGAATCAGATTGGTTGCAAATTGCGTTCTCGATCTCTATCTTCACATGCCATTATGGTTCATGTGTTTTTTAGCAATTTTGGGTTGTAATCCATTGCTGGATCTGGTTAATTACATCATTGGTTGCAAATTGCATTCTTTATCTTCAAATGCCATTATGGTTCATGAGTTTTTCACAATTTTGGGTTGTAATCCATTGCTGGATCTTTTTAATCACATCATTGGAATAGGTTTTGTGGGTTGGCCTACTGTTCTGCCTTATGTGGACAATGATATATTCCCAAAAGTGTACAGTCGACATGGGTTGGAAAAGAAGATGATTCTTTCTACTTTAATTTCTCTTTTTTCCTTATCTATTGTTGACGTTTATGATCCTACATTAGCTGGAATCCTTATGCAAATTTGGGACTAGAGACCTGGGTAGTTGTCCAACATATATAAAAAGAGTTAAAGGCCGTATTCGTGAAAGTTCATATTCATCCTTTGATTAGGGAAGGATGTTCTTTTCGTACCATGGATCATGGTTCCTTTTGTTTTAGAAAATTCATCACTAGATATATGCTGTGCACTTGGCTGTTGAAAGGGCAAAGATTTCGCCCAATTTATAAATCGTAACCATGTTTAATTATAACACTATTATTAAGTTTTGACAAATATAATTACAGTTTTTATTGAATTAAAATATTAAATAAGTGAAATACAATTTATCTATAATTTTTAATTTTATAATTTTTATCTTTAGAAAAATACAATTTATACCCGACAGATTACAAATAACATCCTTCTAAAACATAGAATTCCATGAAATGATTAAGCAAAAGAAAAACAAATGCTTTGCTGAATTGCATGTGCCATGTATAGTGAAGGCTATATGGTGAGGAAACATTTCGTACTATTGAGCAATTATCTCTATAGACTAGAATATGCTATGCATTCCGTCATTGAAATGTTGGAAAACGATGATACCTAAAGAAGAAATTAGGACACCCTGATGATTAAAGGGTATTTAATTGAGTTCAAAGATTGTGCACAAGTCAAAAGTGATGAGATGGAACCAATCCAAGAAAACGAAGAAAAGAAAAGCAAAATATCAACCTTTCACGACCTATAATTATGAGCCTTAAATTTATCTCATCAAGGTTCTTTAAATATAACAATTTTTTCTTTTTATCAAAAAAATAAAAAAAGGGTATACCATCCACCACGCGGCCACAACGCCATGGAGAAAGAACCTGTGGTTCCAACAACTCGAGTTCAAATCCCAGTGATCTCAATCTCCGTCCCCAATTATACTATATTCAAAAATTAAATTAAATTAAATTACAGTATGATCATTTTCTCTTCTTTTTGTTTTTTTAAACAACAAATGGAACCCTTTTCTAGGGTTGAGAGATTGATGCTTGACAAAAAAAATATAGGAGGTAAAACCTTATATTATATTAATTATTAAAGTAGATTGCATGCACTGGACTTGCTAATTTAGTTTTTTTTTTTTTTTCGTTAAACCCTCATTTTAATCTCTCAACTATCATACGGACCCCTGACTTAGTCCCCAACTCAAAAAATCCCTAATTTGATCCTTACTGTTTACCATTTTTACCTCAATTTAGTCTCTCCTTAAAAATCCAGTGATGTGTCCCATTGATTAACGGAAGCATGATGACATGTCAAAAATAGAGTGACACCTTAAATGCACACCTGAAAAAAAAATGATATGGCAGTATGACGTTTCATTCCAAAAAAAAAACAAAAAAAAAAAAAAAAAAAAACTCCTGCAAAGCCTAAACCCTTCTCTCCCTTTCTTTCCCTTCGAACCTAGAACAATAGTGCTCTCTCAGTTCCTCAACAAACATCCACAAAAAAAAAAAAAAGAGAAAAATTTTTTTTTTCCCAATTCCCAATTCCTAGTTCCTTATCTTGCCTTATCTTGCCTTATCTTGCCTTGCCTTCTTCATCATCATCAAACAACC